AAAAAAAAAAAAGAGTGCAGTTCCTATCTATCATCAGTAATGTCATTAGAAAAGACTTGCTAGACTTCACAGACTGTCAATACATATTGTCGAAGACAAAAAAATCGTCATTTCTGAAAAACAATAATGTGATCAAAGGGAAAAAACATTCAAATGAGGCCACTAAGGCTACATACAATATATGGCATAAATTTTCTTTGAGAACATGTAAATAGAACTCTTACCTGATTATTCTGGTCTGCGAGATATCTAACCACAATAGGGAGTAAATATTTGGAAAAAGCATATGGGATTGAAGGTCGGTTTTCTTGACAAAACAATGCAATATGAGGCACCTGTTCCATCAGCTCCGCTCTCACAGTTGGTTCTATTAAAATAACAGAAATGTGAGCAAATTTTCCCACAATCAGAAAATCTTTACCTGGGCTTCAGATTACTTAGGAAAGCTTTGGACTTTCATATTCAACTTACAAAAAGGGCTTACAAAAATGTAATATAATTGCAAACCTTTTCATGAATGAAAGGAGGGCCTAACTTCACCCCAAGCATCTATGGTTCATGGTATTCACGTAGTATGCATTTGTTTCTTAAAATGCATTTTTACTCATCAACTACATTGTGCCACACTGTGTTAAGTGTCTGATATTCCACTCAATACTACAACATGGCAATATGACATTATTTGTACACTTTCTACTATTTAAGAATCTCATAGAACAAGTAATAAGGACTGGTTTCTAATATCTATTTAGTCAGACTTAGTTATATTTAACTAAGACTAAAAGGGGTGAGTGAATAATAAAGAAGACTACCACCACCACCACCACCACCACCACCACCAACAACAAAAAAACCCTAAAAACTATTTATGGCAAATCTTAATGTGAGAACTATGGCATTTCAAATCTCTGAGTTTCAAAACAATAAACTTTCTAATACATAATGGTGGGAAAATCAGTTAGCTTTATTAAAAAAAAAAAAAAAAAGAGTAAGATTTCTACTCTGCATCATACATAAATTTTAGATGAATTAAAATTCTCAACTTTGTAAAAACTAAAGATTGAAAGCACTAAAATATAGTATTTTTCAAATGTTCACTCCTGAGGTATGAAGCATGTCCAAAACAAACAAAACACAGAAACCAACTAATTTCACTTTATGGAAACTTCACTATAAACAACAGACACTATTATACATGACAGCTTGGGAGGAAATACATGTGTAACAAGCTATTAGTAACTAAAATACACAAAAAACCCATTGCTCAAATGAACACACGAAAGAAAATAAGGCTACAAATACTCAATTCATGGAAGAAATGCAAGTGATTAAAACACACAGATATTATCAGTAACAAGTCATTACACTAGACCTAATCAGAAGTCTGGTCTCTATTAATGATCCTAATCAAAGAGCCCTGGTGGGGCATTGGTTAAGTGCTAAGCTGCTATATGAAAGGTTAGAGATTCAAATCTACTACTTGCTTTGTGAGAGAAAGAGTTGACCTCTCCTCGGTGAATATAACCTAGGAAACCCTATAAGGCAGTTGGGAGCTCTGGTAGCATAGTGGCTAAGGCACTTGACTGCTAACCAGAAGGCTGGCGGTTCAAATCCACCAGCCACTCCTCAGAAGGAAGATGGGGCAATCTACTTCCGTAGCGATACTGCCTCGGAAACCCAAGGAGGGGTCGCTGTGAGTCGGGTCCGACTTGACGGCATGTAACAACAACATAAGGCAGTTATATCCCGTCCTATAGGGTCACTGTGAGTCAAAATCGACTCAACAGCACACAACAGTAACAATCACATCACTGAAGTTATCAGAAGGTAAATATCACAGCAGCCCTGTGAGTCAGTAACAATTTCACTGCACCTAACAACAAGGTAAATATGCACAAATGTGCCCTGTAGGACTTTAGACTTCAACAAACAGAAATTAATGTAAGTATCAATAGAAAATATACTAATATTTTACAAAGCCAAAATGTTATCAACACATCAATACTAGGAATTATAATTACACTGTTGTACCATTTAAACTAAGACATTATGTGAGCAAAATAGAATACTTCTGTTCTGAAGAATAAAAATGTAAATTCCCCTCCCCACAAGAAAGTAGAACAACCTCTACTCTTTTCAATGATGTTGAATTTGCTAGATTAACATTGAATCTGATCATTTACATATTTATTTGAAGCAAAAGAAGGTTATAAGTCATAGTTTCAGTAAGAATGAAATCAGTACCTTTTCTTACTTTCTTCATCAAAGTCCTACTTAGACAAATAGACTAATGGAACAAGATAAGAGTTCAGAAACAGACCCACACACACATGGTCAACTGATTTATTAAAAGTTATCCCTACAACCCCCAAGACTATGGCCCCTAGTTAGCCTTCAGGTCTCGAACTCACTCCTCCAGCTTGCAGTCAAACAACAGACAGGCATGTAGGGTGAACATTTACATAGGGTAGATACACTTCTTAGAAGGATGTATCACGGGAGAACAGAAAGGCAGTATTTGTACAGGGAGATAGCTCAGGGGGCAGACATGCATAGGAAGGACAGACACAGGGGAGAGGTAAATACAGGGAGGAAGTGGGGAGAGAGCTGTTACACTGTGGGGAATTGCAGTCAACTGTCATGAAACAAAGTGTATATGAAACAAAGGGTGTATGAACTGCTGTATAGAAAATAAATTTGCTCTATAACCTTTCACCCAAATCACAACAAAAAAATTAAAAAAAAAAAAAAAAAAGTTATCACTGCAGAACAACAGAGGTAAAAGGTGGTCTCCCCAACAAATGGTGCCAAGTCTACTGGCTATCCTTATTTAAAAAAGAAACAAAATAAAACTTGCTCCCTACTTCATACCATACACAAGAATAAGTACAGGTAGAATATAAATCTAAATGCCAAAGCCAAAAACAATAAGGTGTCTAGATTAGATAATACAGGAGAAAATACCCATGACTTTAGAGAAAAATTTTTAAACAAAGCATAAACTGCACTACCCATAAAAGAGCACTTCTCAACTACATGGTGCCTGGCTACCACTATTGACCATTCTGATCATGACCACAACAGGCGGACCCTGAAAGAATGGGAGGAAAATACAGAACAAAACTCAAATTCTTAACAAAATCCAAATTTACCAGACTAGTGGGGACCAGACAACTCCCTGAGACTATCACCCTGAGTTACTCTTTAAACTGTGAATGGAAACTATCCCTAAGTCACCTTTTAGCAAATAGTAAGGTAACACACAAAATAAAGGATATTACCTATGAATAAGTACATTAAAATACCACCATTATGAGACCAAAAAGTCAACAATCACTCTAAAGCAAAGATGAGAAGGTAAGAGGGTAGGGAAACTAGAGCGCTGGAAATGAAACAACCAGAATGCAATTTAAGAGAATGCTGACACACTGAAAAATGTAGCTAATACCATTACTAAACTGTATAGAAATTGTCAAATGGGAACCTAATTTGCTTTGTAAACTTTCACTAATATATTTTTTTTTTTTTAAGTTTTTTTTTTTTTTTTTTTTAGGATTTGGGTGAAGATTTACAGAGTAAATTCACTTTTCATACAGCAGTTCACATATACTTTGTCTCATGTCATTGACCAAAATTTACAATGCAGCAGCTCTCCTTCTAATATATTTTAAAAAAAGAGAGAGAACATCTCTTTAAGAAGCACCACTAAGAGTGTGAAAAGACAAGCTACAGAGTGAAAAAGGTACCTATAAGACATGTAATACCACAGGGCTCATATCCAGAATATATTAAGAATTCTTGCAAATCTGTAAGAAAGAGACTATCAAAAAAAAAAAAAAGAAAAGAAAAGAAAAAGAGGAGGGAAGTAGCAAGAGACTTGGATAGACACTTCAAAAACAGGGTATGAAAAGCATATAATCAGGTGCTCAAGTTCTTTGGTCACTGAGGAAATGTAAACTAAAACCACAGTGAGATACCACCACACACCTATCCATTCCCTTTTGGCAAAATTTAAAATAAAGTGTTAGTGAAGATATGGAACAAAAGGAACCCTCACATACTGCTGTAGGTCTATAGAACAGTATACAACTTCAAAAATTCTGCAACGTATCTATTGAAGATGCATATATGTATATTCTATGATCTCCTAGCTCCACTTCTAAGTGTTCACCTACAGAAATGCATGCACATGGATGCCAAGTGAGTCCTTTGCTCAGAGCAGCATTAAGAACCTAATGCTGAAAGCAGTCCATAAGTCCGTTAGCAGAACAATGGATAAATATATTGCTTAAGGTATTTGACTACTAACGAGAAGGTTGGCAGTTCAAACCTACCAGCTGCTCTGTGCAAGGAAAGATGGGGCAATCTACTACCACATAGATGTATCACCTCGGAAAACCCAATGGGGGTCGCTGAGTTGGACTCGACTCAATGGCAGTGAGTTTGGTTTTTTGTTTTTGGCTTATAGTCATACAACAAACTAGTAAATGACGAAAGAGAAAAATCAACAAAAATAACTACATGCGACATGGATGAATTTCAGAAATATAAAGAATCCAGACACAAGAGCAAACGTGAATTATAGTTCCATACAAAGTTCAGGCAGGCAAACTAATTTATAGTTTAGTGGTCAGATGGTGATTACCTTTAGGGAAGAGGGATGGGACAATTAGGAAGTACACTAAAAAGGTTTCTGGGATGTTAGTTCTATTTTTTAATCTGAGTATTAATTACATGGCATTAATTCTGTGATAACTTCAGTTGAGTTCTATTTTTAGATTTCATGTGCTTTTTGTAGTATGTTAGAGTCAATACAAAAAGAATAAAAACATCTGCTTCAAATATGTTATTTCTAAAACCCTAGGTTTATTATACTCTTGGAACTAGTTAGGTTCCAAAACTATACATTCAGGCATACTGGGACAACCGCTCCTGCTCCCTAAACACACACACTACACACACACACACACGCAACATTTACTCCTAGTTGATAACAACCCTGAGTCTAGAACAGCTCAAAACAACTTGAGGGACAATCCTACAATGAAGGCTGAAGTAAATACCAAATTCCTGTGAAGAGCTATTAAAGAGGAGCTTACAAAACAAAACAAAAAAATGCCTCAGGAGCAAAATGATTAACACAACTGAGAAGTATTATGTATTATAACACCAATTTCAGTCATTCATTATAAATCTCTAGCAGTTATCATCATTTTAAACATTCTATTTTAGAGGCATAATAAATGGAAATATAACTGAGAAAAAAGCCTATTAAGAAAAACATGATCTGAAAACAAAGCACACAAAACTCTTTGAAATGAAAAATGGAGATACCAAAATGAAAAACACAGAAGTCAGAACTAAGGG